CTGGACTAAACACTATCACAGTTTCTTTGATATTTCTCCAAAAAAAATTTTTTTTAAAGATTCAGTTTATAAATCTAAAAGTTATCGATCGTGTAATTTCAATTATCATCACACTTATCAATTAAGTTTAATGCTTTTTGAGGTTTAAGGAATCTACAAAAATTACAAATGCAAAAAATATTTTTTAAGCACCCTTTGCCAGAAAATATAGCTACAAATTTGTAAATTGTTACAATTATTTTGGTAATTATATGCAATAATTGCACACTTTTTTGTTAACCTAGCTTAAATATATATGGAGATTTGGACATTTTCATAAAACAAATTTTTTGTCTTACGCTTTTTTTTATAACTTTGAAAATATTCATTAAAGTTAAACAAAACGTTTGTATCAATTTACAATTAATTACAAAATTATTGCTTTAAAGTTTGAGAAAAAAATTTTAAAAACTGCGCAAGACATGAGTAATGAAAGTAATTCTTTTATACCGCTAATGCTTGGTAAAAATGTAAAAAAAAATCTTATTGCAGTATCATTTCTCAACTAATAAAAGAAGTCCAATTTCAATATCTTAAAATTTAAAAAGTTTCAAGCAATTTTCTAAATGGTTTTCTCTCTTTTTTTATAAAATGCTCAAAATGATACGGGATTTTCCACAAATATTATTTTTGACTATTAAACAAAAGATATTTATTAACAAAAGATAATACCCTTCAAATGATGGTCTGATCAACAAAGTGAGATGGTATTAGGAAATAAAACATTCGAAAGAAAAGATACTTTTATGGGGATTGATCACCAACAATTCCGGTGTCATTTTTGATAAAACTTGTTTAATAGTGCAGAATGATATTTGTGGAAAACCCCTCATCATTCTTAGCTTTCTCTTAAAAAAGTAAGAAAACTTCTTAGAAAATTGCTTGAAATCGCTTTTTAAATTTATAAGATATTCAAATCGGATTTTTTTAATTGGTAGCCAAATACGATTCACTACAAAGATAAGAAAAAAAATTTAAATTTTTCTTTCGCATGAGCAGTATAAAGAAACTACCTTAATTACTCATATTTTGCGCAGCTTTAACAATTTTTTTCAAATTTTAGGGCACTAATTATATAAACAATTTTAAATTGATCCAAAAGTTTAAATTTAGTAAATATTATTTGTAAGTTATAGCAAAAAACGCAAGAAAAAATGAAAAAAAAAACTTTTTTTATATAAATATCTAAATCTCCATAAATATTTGAACTAAGATTATGAAATTTTGTGCAATTATTTCATACAATAAAGCAAAATAATAGTCATAAGTTACAAATTTATTACTAAATTTTTGGCATAGGTTGTTCTAAAATATTTTTCTAAGTTTGTAATTTATTGTCAAACCCCCAAATCTCAAAAAGCTTTAAACTTCATTGATATGTATGAAAAATAGCACGATCTAAACAATTCTAAATTTATAAACTGATTTTCTAAATATTATTTGAGAAATATCAAAAAATGTGTTAGTATCGAAATGTTTACATTATTTTATCCACTCCTGCTTTTATATAATCATGGGTCTGTCCAGACATTTTGTGTAAGGTCCTGTTTTTGTAAAATTGTGAAAAACTATTCATAATTTGTGAATATAAAATAAGCGCTAAATCACATTCTCTTAACCAGGGTCCTGCTTTTGTGAATTTGTGCAAATAGGGTCCTGTTATTGCAAAAATTGCTAAAAACCTTTTTAAATCGAAACCAAGAAGTTTTTAAATCGTAAATAGATACAAGATTCTGCTCAACAATTGCTGCTACTAAATTAGAGATGCAACATGCAAATATTTGGTATTTTGCCTATACTTTTCAACACAGAATATTCATTTCGGACAAATAATAGAAACAAAATCACTCCCATTTTTAATAATTTCAATGGACATACTTTAAATAACACAACTTAGTAATGTATCACTTTTAATTCGTTACGCATTAAGTGAACTTAAACAATTCTAATATATTGTTTGAAAGTAAACTTAAACAATTCTAATATATTGTTTGTAAGTAAATTTAATAAATTCTTTATAATATTTTATTTAAAAAATTGCAAGAAATTAATTTTTATTTACATAATATTCCATTAATTAATTTTATCAATAAATATAAATTGATCAATTACATATTTACAAAAAAATATGATTTAATATTAATTTGAATGTGCACACGATGTTTGTAAAAGTAGAAATATTTTCTTAGAATACTATATTTGGAATTTAAACTTAGGGGAACTTAGTTTGTCTCGAACCGTCTTTCTTCCCCCTCCCTGGGAAGGGTTTAATCGATTAACAAAACAATAATGAAGATAAACAAATTTGTGAGAGGTCCGTTAACGGGCCCAAATTTCTTGTAAACAGACATCTGATAATGATATTAAAATTATATAAATCACTTAAATATTACATAGAAAATCGTAACTGGTTAAAACAAATAATCTTATTTCTAGGTATCCCTGATACCCTTCCTAGAAATCTTAGAATTCCTTTTGGGAACAGCTGAAATGAGAGGACATAAGCTTGAAATTTATACCCATTTGCCGACAGGCATTTATCGGTTCTTCTTAATTATTGTAACAAAAATAAATCAAATGCAATACCTTTTTATTCTGTTACAAATATAGTGTATTAGATACATGTAAAGATTCTTAGACTTCAGTTTAAGAAACTTTTATAAGGATTCACTATTTTTAATAACGATTTGTTTTCTTTTTTTGGAAGAAATATAATGATTATTTTGTGCCTCACAGACTAGTTAAAATATCTAGTTTAAGGGTGGTGATTTCAGAACACTTACACTGTAACAAATTTCTGATAGAAGTGCGGAATAAAGTAACGGCAGTTTCGGTGAATCATTGGTAGAATCCATTCTGCCGTAAAATCTATTTTTGCCGGAAAATATTATACCACAATTTCGACAGTAATATTTATTTAATTAGAGTCATTCAGTGATTTTACTGAGTTTGTCATTGCAAAAATCACGGTGTATCAGAAGTTTTGTTCCGTACCATGTTAAGGCAAAAATGAATTTTACGGGAAAAAAGTACCGGCACCCTAAATGCCAGTACGTTTCACCGTAGTTTGTCCCAGAATTTTTTTACAGCACAGGTGCATCAAAAGGCTAATTATTACAAATGTGAATTTTGCCACATAAAAGCTCTATTTTTTTTTCTTTTGTTATAAGAAAACTTATAAATGTTTGAAATATTCCTATCAATTTTTCAGTGTTTCATTTATGGTTCATTTAATTTAATTTGAATACTGTAGGTAATTTGATAACTTTATAAAAATAAATTTTAATTGCATGAACATTTAATTTTGATCACCTTTTTACCGTTATTTGATCCGTAATTTTTTAAAATTTTTTTGCTCATGAGCATAAAATTTAAGCACCTGTAGTAATTTACCATGTGTTTATTCTTGTTGCAGACTAAACGGAGTAAGCTTTGCCTTTTTTGTTTTACAGGAAAAAATTCGGTTTACACTTTTTAATTAAATGTTATAAATTTTGTAAAAGCTTGAATATCACAATTTTCATACATAATATTTCATACATGTCATAATAGCTGAGAATTTGAATCTCACGCTAAGAGTTTGATATAATCAGCATTTAGAATTCGTGGTATTTTTCGAACCCTATTTTATTCGTTACTGTCATTAGGTGTAAGAATTTCAATCTAAAATATTTATAAATACAGCTGTCTGGATTTCTTCAATAATCTTTTAAGTGATAAAAAAATAGCGATGAAAATAGAGTCATTCGTAAAATTTTAGATTTTTACACCATCATACTCTTATTATCTTATTCTAGTTTCATTCTAATAATCTTTATCATATTAATATATCCAAAGTTAAAATTAAATGCCTTAATTATTATCACCGCATTTAGTAACCCGTTATACAAAGACTGCAGACTTTGCATTTTAAAGCCATATAAAGTCTCGTATTTCCGTAAATTTTATTTATTCTTGAAATTCAAGCATCGTAGTGAAAGATTTGCGTATCAAATTTATTAGTGGAATAATACTAGCTAAGTATGGAGCCATCTGTTTCAAAACACAATAAACCACTATTTTAAAGAACTATTTCTAAACTCCTCGCTTAAATTAACTATTATAAATAGTTACGCTACAGATTTAGGGAAAATAAAACAGTTGACTGTGATTTTGAAATAAAGGATTTTGCCACTGAATTTAATCTAAAATACTTTCTTTCAATAATTAATTAAAATGCCACATTATATTTTAGTCACTTTTCTTAATGAAAGATGTTACTCCGTAATTTTATTAAATATTGTACTCTTAAATAATTTTATGATTAGATTAGATTTTGACTCATGAAATTTAGAAATTTTTTTTTCAATTTCTCCCTGTATCACTTTTAGTTTGAAATAGTTCCGAAAGAAAACAATTCTGTGCACAGTAAAGCAAATAAATAATGGAGAATAAAATGATTGACAATTTCGAAAATCAATTAAGCAGAAGTTCAAGTTTCTCAAAAAAATTAATGAACTTCCAATTTTTTCCTCAGGAATTTCAACTTTTTTGTAAAAAAGTGATTTTAAACGAAGAGATTTCTCATTAAACATGGATTTTGGTTAACAGTACGTAAACCTATTGCTCTTTTTAGAATCGGCCATGTGCAAAGAAAAGGCAGCTCAATTTTTTCGGCCAAAGTAGGAAAATTTGCATATTCGTTTGTTACTTGAATCGAAATGAATCATTTGATATAAAACACTGTCCTTATGCTAGAAGTGATTACGCAGAATCACAGCACCCGGAATAAAATATGACAAAGTATGGAAACTTTTTAAAGGCCTGCAATTCATATAAGAAAAAATTAACTTTCTAGATCTGTAATACTTTGCTACAATTATTTTTTTATTAATTTTTCAGTTTTTTTTAAAAATTCATTTGTTTCTTTTTCTTAGTTTTCACTTCCTAAGAACTTTCTGTATATATTTTTTTTAGCTTACCTGTAACTGGAGTCATTTCTGAAGTTGTCCAATGAAGCTCTATTGAAAACTCGGATTTTTGGCCAACTCTTAGAGAGGGAGGTTTGGGTGGATCTATAAAAAATAAAATAAATAAGTAAATAACAAGACTTTAGTTCTGAAATTAATAAACTAAGCATTCTAAAGCTTGCATTCATCTTGAGTTTTTATCTAATTTGACTATACATGTTCTTGAAAGGTTTGAAGTAATGGCATATTATACTTTATTATATATTATCTGCAAAATGTGCATGAAAAGAGATCATTATAATTAAAGATTGATTAGTAAAGATCCTGATGATTATTAAGTTAATTCCAAATATATTTTTTCACTCGAAAAACTTACCGTTTCTTTAAATTTGGAGATTTCTCTGGATAGGATCTAATTCTTGATGTTGTTGTTTCTAATGCCACTTGCCAATATCAGCAAGCTTGCCTGGTGAAACCAACAGAATTTGTTTTACAGAGGCTCCATGTATGGCTAAGAATACGACTTCAGTCACACACACACACGTCACAGACCGCTTATAGGGCTGACCCATTCATATATATGCATTCATTCATCCTCATATCATAATTTTGACCTGAACCAGAAAACGATCAATCTACTATTATTCAGTATCTTCAGAGGTATTGATTTGTTATTAGACTTTGTGACCCTGCAGATTTAACGCGCACCAGTCGTCATTTATTACATAGTATATACTTAAATTATGCATGATTATATGATTATATAGTCTTCGGCCGGCTGGAATCAAACTCACGACAGCTTGGTCAGGGGTCCAACTTCCTACCAGCCAGGCTGTACCGGCCACAGGATCTTATTCTAGTCTTATTTAACGAAAATATTGATAGATTTTGCATTTTTTATATAACTTTTTAAACACATCTGTCGAAGTATCTTGAACGTGAAAAAGTTTAACTCAAGCTGCTTAACTCGAAAACTGCAATTGTTGTTAACCCCGTCACCTCAGAAGTAGCCTCAGATGGTTTTAAAATTGCAATAATACAGACTTGAAAAGCAAGTAAAAGATTCTATTAGTATCAATCAAATAAAAATACCACGACTTTAATCATGTAAACAAACTCGTGGTAGTTTTATTCAAGGGAAAAAGGGCAATTTTCATTCTATCATTTTCAAGTTTCAACAGAATATTGGTAGCCATAATAGAAGTCTATCTTCAAAGTTTTATAAAAAAAATAATAATTTGTTTTATTGTTACAGTTAAAAGTATGGTTTTGGTTGTTGGTAATTAAAAAGTTCCTTGCAAACGAATTTTAATTTTTTTAATTAAATTTTTATTTAAATATGCTATTTGTATTCATTTAAACAAATTTAAGTGGTTTTGGTAACCATATAAAAATATAACGTAAGTAGGCATCAAATTTTCATTTTGTCACCAAACATTCCTTCAAAAAACGCGCTTCAATTACGTTTGTTCAATTATTAAAAATATAAATTAAGATATTGAATTAGTCAAATGCATTTAGAATTAAACAAGATACATGGAAGAGTGTATAATTTTTTTTAATAACAATTAAACAAAACTGGTGCGCAAAGAACTTTTTGAAGTTGTGAGAACATTGAGAAATTTCATTATGAGAAAAAGCTACTTTGTCAACTGGAACTATATTTTAATGTATATGGACCTTTTCAAATTCGCTATCAACTCGGTTAGAAAAACCTTGATTCTAACTCCGTTTGTTGCCTATTATTTAGTAAGGTGTAAATTTTTTTTTTAATATCTCAAAAACCAAATAATGGATTTTTAAAGAATTTTTCTCATTTTGAACGTCCCAGTGTCTTCTTAATGATGTGATTTCACTTGATCAAACTTGAAGCTTGATGATGTGATAAAATTCAGTGTATCAAAAAATTTAAACTGGTAACTAAATCTAAAATAAATCTATGAAAAATAGCAGTGTTTGCAAACGAAATTGCAATAAACTTATAAGAGTTGAAGCAAGTCAAAGTACAAGCAGGTCGAAATATTATCATAATTGTTTGAATTGTTGAATTAAATTATGAATGAGAGAAAATTTTTAATTCATGGTGGAATATTGAATATAAACTTAGTAGTTTGAAATTGAATGTTTTGTTGCAATTAAATTAGTTAGCGTAAATTAAAATGTTCTGACGAGATCCTTTAATTTTATCGAAAAAAAAAGAAATGTTAAATAATGTATTATTCTTATTTTTTTATGCATTTTCATACAAGTGAATTATATCAATATTATGTTAAAATGTTTTTATTTAAAATAATTACAAAAATTCACTTATTATATACACCTATGGATAACTGAAAAAAAATTTGATTCTAAAAATAATATTCTGCAACGTATAAAAAATACGTTAAAATGATATTTATGATGAATTTAAAATGTTTTGCGTCACTTTCTGTCAATCTTTTATGATTAAAATATATAATTACAATTAATAGTATTAAATAGTTAAATATCATTTATGGATGACGCACAAAAACAAGATTTATTAAGCTCTCATAAATTCTAAGTTGCTTTCATTTTTTTAACGGCTGTTCAACATAAATATTTTATGCATATTCCCTGCTGCCATCTATCATAGAAATTCGGAACTCAATAAAATTTTAAAAATTGAAGAACGGGAGAACGGGAACATAAAATACCATTAAAAAGAAAAAGAATTTCAATGAAATATGAATAAATTTAATTATAATTGCAGGCATATGTTTGATAGTGTGTTAGGTAAATGAATGTGCTAAAGCAAATTTACTAACGTCTGTTTTTAACTTAATGCTAATAAAGTGTTGAAAACTGAATCCTTACACAAATAAAAAAAAAAGGAGTTTAATTTTCTAATTCAACAAAAATTGAAAACTGCTCCTTTAAAAGGATATGGGAAGAATTCTTGAACTACAATATTTCATATACATTATTATATTATTATTAAAAAATACAATTTATTTAGCTGCAACATCAACAACAAAATCTTTCCATTAACAGCAAAATAAAACGTAAAAAAAAATTTTTTGTTAGGGAGACAAAAAAGAAAATAATTTAGGATTTGCAATGTTTTTTTTTTTTTTTTTNTTTTTTTTTTTTTTTTTTTTTTTTTTTTTTTTTTTTTTTGACATTGGAGGTCAAGAAGATAGTTGATGATATTTTTTGTAAATTAAAATATTTTTTGTAAATTAAAATTAAGCAATTGAAAGTTGGCTATAAACATAGAGGTTAATAATTTTAACAATATTTTATCATTATGGAATGCCTTAGAATTTTTTACGTCATATAAAATTATTTTCTTGGTATTTAATAAACTCTATAATTCAACAATTCCATTCTTATATTTTATCGATAAGTGAAAATTGATCAGATTTTGAGAGCGTGATTAGGTTTTCAATGAAAACGATATTTATGATAATCTCTAAAATGCTTAAGAAGGTATAAATTAAAATAATCAATTAATATATAAAGAGGTTTAAGGAATTTTTAATTGTAAAAAAAAAAAAAAAAGCATTGAGCTACTAATCGTTCCAAGATAGGCTAAGATAGATAAGGCTTTTAAGATAGATAGGCTTCTAAGATAGATAAGATTAAATTTATTAGCGTAATCAATTCCTTTGTAATTCTGATTAAATTTAACTTTAATAGTGGTACTCGTAAACATTATTCCTTGCAATCATAGTTCAAAATATGCTGGACACTTTTTCCAACTTTTCATACAGCAAAGAGATGTTTACATCATTCGCCAGATTATCCAATAGATATTCTCCGCTTAGTTCCTCTTGAAGATTTTGTTTTCTGTTTTACCTCATCACAATTAGGAATACAGAATAAAACTGGAGTATAAAGACAGTGACGAATCACCCTTTACATTCTACTCTAGTATACAACGTAAACAATTCCGGATCACATTATGGTAAAAAGTACTGCCATCCTGGGTGCATCTTCCATAATTTTCATTTTACCTCAAAATCTATTTTTATCGTAAAATTTTCAATTGCAATTTTTACAGTAATATTTAATTACAGTGATTTTACAATAATTATTACTGTAAGAGTTAAGGTATATCAGATTTTTCTTTCCGTAAACTTTTACAGTAAAACTGGATTTTACTGTAAAAAGTGTGATCACTTGGCAATTCGATTGCCGAGTGAGTAATTAGATGTGGAATGTTCTAAAGTAAATGCCTTAGTTACTTTTCGTCCTTCTGTACATAAATTATATAAGTAAATCAATACATAAATAATGTTATACACAAATATGCAGATTAAAGGAAATGACACAATTATATGGAAAAATAAAGAGATAAATACCATGTTGTAACGTTTGCACAATAACTTCTTTTGCTGCTGGGCCAGCACCTTTACTATTATAACCTTGTACTGTTATTGCGTATTTGGTGTTTCTTCTTAAATTTGATATCAATGCTTCATTTAGACGTTGTAGCTTTGATGTATCTACAGTTTTGTAGACATACGGGTCATTGGCACTCAGATCTCTATAGCCTACATAATATCCAAGAAGAGATGCACTATTTGTTGTAGTTGGAGCCTATAGAATTTTAATGCAAAATAAAACAACCTTTCTGCGTTTATATAAGACTAAAAAAGAATTATTTGATAATAATATCTAATACATAACATCCACAACATACAATCGTAAAAGCTATCCATTTTAAAAGAGATTCACATAATATCCCAGAAAAATGCATTCATTTTTGAGTTCGAGCATAAGGAAATTAACATAAAATAAAACGAAATACCAGTTTTTTTTAAAGATTTAGAAATCAAAAATATGTAAAAATGCTTAGCATTTCTGCTTCAATTCTTTGAAATATTACAAATATAATAAAGAGTTCATTTCAAATTTTATTTTAACATTATCTTAGAAATCATTTACAACAAAGGGTTCGTTTTCAATATATTTTAATATCATTTTAAAAATCATATGCAATAAAGAGTTCGTTTTCAACATATTTTAACTTTATTTTAGAAATTATTTATCATCTCTCTCCTAAAATAACAGAAGAGATTTCTAAAAATAAATGGTATACTAAAATTAATTTATGATTAGTTTTATATAGTATTTTTATTACCAATTTGATACAGTTTTATTTTTAAATAATTGATTTCAATTTTTTAATTATTAAATTTTTGTCATTAATTATTTAAGTACATTTTAAGTAAATTTAGTACAAAAGAAAATTTAACAAAAATATTTAAATGTAAGACGAGGGGGTTCTGCCCCTGCTCACTTCTCTTAAAAACAGTACTTCTCTTAAAAACAGTAAACTTCTCTTAAAACCCACTATTGCTTCGCAATCAGTTTTGTTTTTTAAAACAATTAACAATAATTCATCAATAATAAAAATAATTCATTTAAAAGATTTCATTTTGTTTTTCTATATATATATATACAAACAAAAATTTCAATTTAATTTTTTCAAGATATAGCAAAGTACGCAAAAAGTAAAATTAGCATTAAGGGGTCAAAACTTTGGACAGCTTTCTTGACCAAACTATTGGAACCATATTTTCCAGATCGCGACTACCCCCTTTAATTTGAAGGTCACAAATCCGAATCCATCGAAAAAAAGGTATGTTTATTCAGCGAAAGTACGTTTTTATGTCTGATTTCGCAACTTAAAATATCATCTGTTTTAATTAATTTGCATATTTGTGGTCACCCCTTCGAACCATTCATCCTATCATTAAATCAAGTTATTAGGGGTGGTCCTTTTTTTTGCGCACTGTATATAGTTGGTTTCGCATTTAATTTCCTGGGGTTACAATTCAAACTCTTGATTTTGCTCAGCTACAATTGCAACATCATTCCTAAAATTATTTTAAATTATTTTTATTTAATTTTTAATTGATATAAAAAGTTGTAATATATTTTACGCTGAAGAAATTGCTTGGTGATGGTGCAAAATGTTAATTATTGATATTGTTTTAGAAAGTTGAATAATTATTTTTTATTCGTTATTTTAATTGCGTACATCAACAGATCACAGTCTAGTATAAATTTTATTTTTTAAATAAGCATTCCTTATTAAAAAGAAAACTTAATTTATTTACCGTTTAATTATTGTACAACGTTTGTCAAATATTTTGACTGTGAAATATTGCACAGTAAACTAATATTCTATTTGACAAGTTATAATAGATAAATAGACAATATGACTAATAATATATAGACAATAGGAATAACAATAGGTTGACAAAGACTTTATATATAGACATAAGAACAGAAACATTTATAATAGAATACAATAGATTTAAAATGCTTTACAATAGATATAATTTTAAGCGTTTGCTTTACAAAAAATGAAAAATGTTTATATTTATAAGTCTAAATTAAATAAATATATTTACCGAAAAAATATTATAGAATAAAAGTAATGTCAAAAAAGAGATTTATAAATAATTTACAGATAAAAACCATTATATTTATTGATTAATTCTAATCTGGTAACATTAATCTAAATTACTACTAAAATTGAAAAACTGCCCAACTCATTTTGTATAAATTACAGCTTTTTCAACATTAAATTTATATGAAACAAAATGAAATATTAATCCATAAGTACTGAATAAAAATATTTGAAAAAAAATTGTTGATAATTAAAAAAAAATAACTTCAATTGTAGTAAGTTTTTTTAAGTATTTAACTGGAAATTGTTTCTATAAACTCTTTGCATTTCTTCAACACAATTCAACCAGTTTCTTTTTATGTTTATCAATAAATATTTACCTATGGCATTCAAATATAAAAAATCTGAAATTTTTATTTGTTCTAATTTACACTATTAAATTCTTCTTGAAAAAAAACCAAGAGTAGGATATATTTATCGTTGAAACATCTTTTGCTGCATTTCAATAAAACTGTAATAATTTATGTTAAGAATTCAAATGCAAATGATATGATTTAAATAAATAAAAGTAACTCAGATTAAAGAAAAAAATTCTAAAACAAAATATTGTATTACATATTAAAGAACAACAATTACTGTTTCAACTGTTACAATTTAAAGCTATTTTATAGTTTCATAAAAATACCTAGAGAAAAAACACACCTCATTTCAAAAAAAGGAAATATATTCGTTAAGGAATTCAATTACCAATAATTACTTCATAGTTCAATTTATATTTTTTCACAAAGGAATTGTTTAAATCCATAATCTGGATATTCCTTTCGTTTCAATAAATTTATCATCCTTGAACCTTATCCTTGAGTATTCTTTACAGTTGAAAAACATTTTCTTGCATTTAAATATTACTGTTGTTAAATTAGTATTATTTTTTTTTAAAAATTAAACACATACTATATGATTTCTTAACTAAATATAAGTAATTCATAATAAATATTAAAAAAACTCTAATTCAAAAAAAGAATGAAAACATTGTATTACATACTAAAGATAGACAATTTGTGCTTCAATTTTAAATTATTTTTTATGTTTTTGTTTCATAAAACTACCCAGGGTTAAAAAAAATATTTCATTTTAAAAGAATGAAAACTTTGTTAAAGAATTTTATTACCAATTATTACTTCATAATTCAATTTATATTTTCCACAAAGGAATTGTTTAAATCCACAATCTGAGTATTCCTTTCGTTTCAATAGATTCATTATCCTTGAACTTTCTTGGTATTAATGGCAAAATGCCATAAACATAATTGCAAAGTGTTCTCATTGCTTATCAGATCGAAACGATCTAAATTATCCCCCGGGGAGAAATAATACCAACAACTCCTTACTTTTGGCTTCCGTGCTGAACTTATTTTATAGACTACCACATTTTATTTACCCCATATACTCCATCCTGTGTCAATAAATATTCCAGTAATGAAGCTTTCTTTCCCATCAGAAAGGAACCATGAGTCTTTTCTGAGCTTGAATTTTATTTGGTCTGTTAACAAGTTTGCCAACGTGAAAGATAAATGACTGTCATAGAAATGTGAGAGATAATATCTCACGCGGAGATGTTGAAGGACATAAGGCTATTTTTTTCTGGATATTTTTTAAACTTTAATTTTCATGATTTTCTTAAATAAAGGACAGAAATCAAAAACATTTTATGGGCTATCTGGAAAATACATTTTATTTACTTCATACTTTAATTGCCTTTAAATTCTATAACTGAAATTATTTTATTGAATTATCCATTTGGTCTGCTAATAAGTTTACCGAAGTAAAAGATAACTGCGACTGTCATAGAAATATTAACGTTATTATCTCACGTAAAAATGTTGAAGGTTGTTCGGCTATTTTTATAGATACTTTTTAAACTTTATTTTTATGACTATCTAAAATGAAGTACTTAGTTGAAGAATATTTTGAGTGCTATCCCAAAAATACATTTTATTTACATCATACTTTGAATCCCATAACTAAAATTATTTTATTGAACGAAACATGTTCTTTACTTCATCCTATGTTAAGAATTATTTTTATTATACATCATAAAAAACCACGAGGAATATTTTCAGAGTTTAACTCTTTACAAATAATAGTTAAAGGATCGCATGGAAATTTTGAATTTATCTCGCATGGAAATACTGAAAGGTAGGTATAAGGTCATTTCTTAAACTTTTATTTTTTTAGATGTTTTTAACTGAAGAGTTAAGTTTAAAAAACTTTTTATGTGCTATCCCGAAAATACATTTTATTAACTTCATTCCTTGCTTGCCTTTAAATCCCGTAACTAAAATTATTTCATTAAATGATACATGTTACAATATCATCCTATGTTAATAAATAGTCTTATAAATATCTTTATCATACATCATAATGAAAAACTTTCAGAGATTAACTGCTTACAAATAATTCTTAAAGGCTCGCAGGGAAATATTGAAATTATCTCGCATGGAATACTGAAGGATATAAAGCCATTTTTGTGCACATATTTTACACTTTTAATTTTAAAGATATTTTTGACTGAAGAGTTTTGTTGAAGAACATTTCATGTGCTATCCCAAAAATATATTTTATTAACTTCATTCCTTGCCGGCATTAGAATAGCCAGAACTAAAATTATTTTATTAAATTATACATGTTACAATATCATCCTATGTTAATAGATAGCTTAGTAAATATCTTGATCATCTATACATAATAATAAACGCCGCTAGGTGTGTGTCTGTAATCACAATATATCGCCCCAGAAGCCTCGCCCAGGCACGAAACTCGGCACATAATTGTGTTTTGACATAATGAAGAAGTATTTTTCTTCTTTTTCAAAAATTTGGAATAGTTTTTTTGCTATCAGTCATTTTGTAAGAAAATCTATAATTTTTCGTCTTCAAATTTTTTAAATAAGCATTCCTTATT